TGTCCCTGTGCCAAGGACCGGGAGAACAGTGCCCAGAAGGGTCCAGCCCTTTGGGATCTACTTTTTGTTGGCCTCCCTCATCCCTCTCTCACCTCCCAGCTCTTCTGCGTGGATGGGGATTGTTCTGTGCAGAGGCCTCTCCCTGCATCCCCATCTGGTACGTTTTTCCCCTTAGATGACAGTTCAGGAAGATACAAGCCTGTGCCGAAATCCATCCTTTATTTGGGTCATTACTTAAGCTCATGCTTAGCTTTGAACTGAAGTTAAGCGCAGGGACAAAGATGGGCCGAAGGAGGAGATCAGAGTGCTCGCTGACGCGCACCCCTGTAAGGTTCTTCTGCAGCAGTGGAGTTGCTCCTGACTTCCCACATCGTTCAGGCAGAGTCAAGCCCACCATGTTCCTACTGTGGTTAGATTAATTTAAGGCGTGCGCTTCCAAAACATATAACTGAGTGACTTAACTGCTATGTTACACAAAGGTTCCGAACTCTCCTGATTGTTACCTGTCTTTGTACAGCAGAGGTAAATCAATGTGTACGCCAACGATGTGATGCATTCGCCTAACCCATTTTTGAACAGTCTCATTTGAAAAGTGAAATATGTCTTGCTGATGTCACATTGTCTTGTGGGTTGTCACCTCCCTATAACTTTGTGTTCCTCTTTCTCTTTTGGCATGCAAACAGCATTTTAAAAAAAAAAAATCCCCTTCATGTGGTGCATAGACTCTTGAAGGGTATTTTTAACCTATTGCACTCAACCATATTTGGTTCTCTTCTCAAAATACGAATTCCCTGACGTGCTCAGATATGCAGTGATGGGGTTTTTTTTGCCTTGGAAAAAGGCATGTAATATATTCTGAGTGAACTCCGTGTCCTCATGTATGGACTGAAATTGGTCTTTAGAGAAAGTCCCCCGGCTTCCGCCAAACACCGATTCGCTTCCCTTTTGGGATTTATTGCACCAAATAGCCATGTTAATTTCTATTTCTCCGTTGAAGCTTGAAAGACCAGGAGAGAGAAAAAATGCAATTTTATAGTGCAATTATCACAGTTCCTGTAATCTGCTGCTGGGTGAGTTTCTGACCTGCATGAGACAGGAGAAGAAAGCGTGAACCCCCAAGTCCCCTCTTCAGGCATGGCCCACTGCTCTTCTGTTCTCTGAGCAGATGTTGTAGGAAGGCTCTGTACAAGCCTATCTTAATTTCTGTGATCCAGACGGCGTTCACTCATCCAAACCATAACCTAGAATTGAATTTTCCTTTAATTGTTTTCCTGGCACCAAGTTTTGTGGGTGACTCTATGAATTTTTACACTTCCAGTGTGATTTGCTGCTCCCTTTCCACTGTTTGCTCAGCAAATGATGGAAACAGCTCCCACCGATCACTTGTCTCCAGCTACTTAACGCCACGGGAGAGGGCCCCTTCTGCTCTGAGGACACGTAGAGCAGGTGACCTGGGAAGCAGGGGCAGATACACCCCTGCTTCTCCTCTCTCCCTTCTTTGACCGCTGCCAGCGATGTGACAAATGAGCTGGGTTATGGAAATCATTTTGTGGGAGCCGTGGGAGGAGAAGTTCTGTCTTTGACTGCCTCCTCACATGGCTGCAGCAGGTCTGGGGAAAGCAAAAAACCTTGGAGACAAATGCAGCCTGGTCTTGAGGTGACAATGATGTGTCTGAATAGAATAATGATGAAAGTAGCAAGTCAGCCAAAGATGTCATATTTCAAAAGGAGATTGTTCATTTAAGCGCCCATGAGATTTGAGAACCTGACGTCCCAGGGAAAGTTAGTGGCCTCAAGGCTTCTCTGTCCTTTGGCGCTTTTGAAATACATCATCCTTCCTTAAGAATATTAATATCAGAGCTATGTAAAATCAAGTCTTCAAAAGAGAAATAAATGGCATAAAGAGCTATAAATAGGAAAAGGATATTCCAGAATCAACATCCTCTTAAATAATTTCTCTCAGGGTAGATCCTTTTGGGGTAAAGTTCTATATTTAAAATGTAAAGTATTTGCCTACTGGGCACCTAATCCAGTCTTCACTTTTTTTTTTTTCTTTTTTTTTTTCTTTTTTTTTTTTTTTTTTTTTTTTTTTTTT